AATGTCGTCGGCGAGATATGTCAGGAAATTCGCCATCTTTGCCTCCTGATTTCCGTTGACGGACTCTAAAGTAAGGTCAGGGCATTTGTCCCATCCCTTCTTCTTCTTTCCGACCTTGTATTTGCCTCCACGTTTGGATACGTGTCGATATAGGGCGTCGAGTGGGCAAGGAAGGGCGATGTCAGGAAATATGAGTTCAAGTAGGCCAGATATGTTGGGGGCGCAATATCCACGTAGTTCCTCGTCTGCCATAATCTTGGTGTCTTCGACTTTTAACTCCGAGTTACCCTCTGGATTACCGCCCTTTTTTACCGGGGTAGACTGCGGAGGTAGCGCAGACTCGACGGCGTTGAACTCGTCTTGACGATCGTATGGCAGAGCAGTATGACCAACCGTATGCCCGAAGAACTCTAGAGGATCTCTCTGAGGCGGGGTATGAGGCGGAGTCTGAGGCGGGGTTGTGCCCGTGGACATGGTGAGGTCGCTTTGCGGGGGAGAAGAGCAAAGAAACACGCACCAAGCGACGACAGCCTTTATACGCGTGGAAGAGATATTCGAACCAGGGCCAAAGCCGACAAAACAACCGCAAATTGTTGTGGTTGGGGAGCGCGCCTGTCCGCAGGAAGAACAAGGTCACACCGCACTGCCGTGACACGTGCCGCTGCTCAACGACGCGGGACCAGTCAGAAAGCACGAATGAATAGATTAGTTGATGAAGACGCCCACAAGCTGGTCTGGATCCCACCTTTACCAATCTCTGAAGCTTATCTGAAGGCCGAGTCACTTGCAGTAGGATGTGGCTCGTCCAAATGAACGCGTCCGTCACCGACGCGTTAGGTCACGCTGTCACAGCCCTATTGTTCTTGTGGCGCTGGTTACCACGACCGGCTGAACATTGAACCACCGTGTGAATGCGTCCAATCAGGACTCGAGTCTGACACGCTGTGACGGCGTTGGGCAGGATTCGAGCTCCAGTATTTCCACATAATGGCAATGTAGAGGCGAGAATGCATACAACCATTTGCGCAGTTCGTTCGTGTCAGGGTGGGTCCGAGCTCCCGACTTTTAGGTCTTGGGAACTTGAATGTCTGACCACTGTGGATACGTTTTGGAAAAGCCGGATCATCGATGTTCAAATGGGTGTAGCCACCAGTTACACGCTGATGACACAAAAGTTTTGCAAGGGGCGTGGTCAATGGATAATTTCTCGGTCAGTAGAAGCCTCCATGAGCACAACATGCAAAGCGGCAGAGGCTTCGACTCAATGCATCAGCACATACACAAATGTTAGTATCAGCGATACAATACGTTCACTATCACTGTCGATACTTCAGTCCTTCATTCTAGCTTACAATCTCCAAGAATACAGCAGGCATGCTCAGTGATACAACAGCCCATGTCCCTCCGGCTTCACCGAGTGTAACCAAGCGCGAGCCACGGCATGTTCCGCGCATGCTGCTACCCACTGAGGTCTCGGAACTTCGTCCCTGCTTCCGGGTAGCGTGGCTCTTGAGCCAGATCGTATTTTATATGGCCGTTCCAGGAAGAGAGGTTGCCTGGTGGACGCAGTTGGTATGTTTCATTTAGAGCTTCGCCGCGGAAGAAGGAGAGGAAGACTTAGTTTATGACAGGACCGAGGACCGACGCTGGGTGGTAGAGGTGTCGATACTGGACAAAGTGGGTACCTCACTGTGTCACGACCTTGAAGGCCAGCTACAGTAGTGTGAGTAGAGACCCGGTAGTGATGATAGACTCAGTTGGGGTGCCTGCCCATGTTCCACGCGGCCTTCTTCACCAGCTTGTGATTATGGGTCCTAACTGCAAGTGTGTCATCCGGTTCAGGCTGGCCTATTATCCAAGGGCCGGCTCATATATGGCACGGCAAGGCAGATACGAGATTAGCATACCGGAAGGATGAAGTGAGCGGAAAGCATTTTAGCATCTGTAAGGTCGCCTAGGGTAGGTAATCCGTACCAGCGATCGGAGGTACCGGTTAGGTTTCCCATCCCTATTTATACGCGTATTGGGCGTCGTCGTGTCCCCGCTTGTGGGCACATTTCCAGAGGTGGTATATCAACCATAGCGAGAGTGCCCTTATACCGCGGAGCTGCAGGGACTTCATCAGCCCACAACTTCGAGCGGTCTTCCGGATGTGCACACGATGAGCCTCTCACGCTCACTAAGATCACAGATGATCTCGCCGGCACTGGGTCCTCCCCAAATCCAGGCATCAAGCAGCATCCCGCCAGGTCAAATGATATCCGCGCCATCAAGTCGGTACTCAGTTGCTGAAGCGCATGAGCCGAGACAAGCCTGAGAAGACCGGGATGAAGTAGGAATGAAGTGTATAGCGGCCTGGAGAATGAAGACCATGTCGGGCAGTGAGGGGAGAAAAGTGCGGGTTGGGGGCACATGCAGATCGGGGTTAATGGGTGACGGACACGGGCACGTTCGAGGATGGTTCATCGCCGTCGTCCACAACGTTGGGAGTGGTCGTCTTCAACGTTGGATGAGACTTGCGGTAAGCACGAGGAAGTTGCCATTATTGTTAAATGCGGATACGACATTATCTGTAGGTAACTGCAGCACAAACCCCAACGAGCACTACCATTGTGTCCCAGGATGATAGAAGGGCAGAAGGCGGAGTCCCACCACTACCTAGTTGAGCCCCCACAAGTCAGTCAAAAGCCTGCCCTCCCTGTCTTCCACCCTGAATGGGCGCGACGGAGCCAACTCTCGAAACCGTGCCAATACTCGCGGCCCCCGATGCGAAAGAGCCGACCACTCGTCCCAGCCAACGAACCTGACGACTCGGAGTTGGGGCGCATCAATGGAAAATAAATTATCGAAGAGGACTGTATAGTCCCTATTCTTACATGCCTGCCCAGTGAACCGGCCAAGCCCCAACTTCTGTATTCTTGGGAGAGGGAGGGCCTGCGGGATAATGGGCCAATCATCCGCCCGTAGGACGAGGTGGACAAGGTTGGGCAGCATCGCAAGCAATTCTGGGATCTGTCCTCGAATACCGCACGGGGACACAGGCACCGAGAGCAGAGTGATGTTATGACCGATATGAGGAGGCACTGGAGGCAGATGATCGCGAAATTCAAGGGATTGGAGAGCCCTCAAATCATCCTCAGCTGTCAGACGACCGCTATTGCGACCACGGCTGAGGCCGATGGAGTCCCAGGATGAATAGATCAGATTCGGGAGCCGTACTGGTGTAAAGGATGTACCGGGTGGTAACGCCATACCGTGCCAATACCTTAGGATCCTCAGGCCAGGCAGAGACGATACCATTTGCCTCCACTCATGTAGAGCAGCTGCATCAACATAACCGGGAGCCCAGTCAAGGACACGAAGGGACTCGCCCTGTGTTGCCAAGGACAGCCGTATGTTCTCTGGTATGACGAGATTTATTCCGCGGTACTTGGCCGGCCATAAATTGAATATAACGAGGGTAGGGATCGAGCGGATGATTTCTGCCAGTAGGTCAAATGGCACGCCCGAGCTTAAAGTGACGCAGACCAGTCTGCGAACACATGCCCGCAGAGAACCGACAACACTGCTGGATTGGAAGTCGGATACAAGGGTTCGGTGCAGGCGTTCGACGCCCTTGGTGTGATCCGCAAGAACGATCCGATACAGGATCGGAGTCGCGAGCTCTCGCCAACGCTTGCATACGAGAACCAGAGATCGCTTCGTTCTGTAGGCAATCTTGAGAGAACGAAGTTCTTCTAGTTGCGGAAGAGGAACAATGGTTTCGAAGGGGTTGTATGACTGGGATTGTACGGCTCCGGGGACGTACGTCGCGAACTCGAATATTTCTATCCAAAGCTCGGGTGGGAGAACCGGTAGCACGATAGTTCGTGGCCTTTTCCACCACCCGGGATCTGCGGTCGATGACATTGGAGAATCATCAGAGAACATAAGTTGAGGTACACGAGTAGGAGACACGATGGTCACGACGCGACATGTGATCGTCTCGCGGGACCCGCGACCGGAAGAAAATGTGTTATCTTAGTGGTTAGGATCACACCTCGAGCTTAATTTATTGTCCCCTTCGGGGTGACATACGAAAAAATTGGAACGATACAGAGAAGATTAGCATGGCCCCTGCACAAGGATGACACGCTTACCCAGAGTGGCAGCTCTACGGAGCTCAATATTTATGCTTTTTTTTCCCTATGAATCGTCTTGCCTCGATACTTCTCATTTTACCGCCGTGGAACCTAGTTTCCGACTGAGCTATCTCTGGATATTTCCATTTCCCAGTGTTCCACTCCAAGTTGAGATGATGCCGCAAAACCCCCAATCTGGTGTTCACCCTACGAGGTGCACCGAATTTTAGTTTAATTGCTAGCCGTGATCAGAGCAATGTACATGATATTGCATCCAAGAGGTAGCCAACAATAGAATACTTTCATCGACAAGAAATATATGAACAGCTGAAAAGACGGATAGAGATATATACGTATTGCTCCCATATCCCAGCATATAGGTAGCCCGACTCGTTCGAAAGGTCGCAACCGCTTGACGCGGAAGCTTCGACAGTCGCAACTCAAGTCGAAGACACTAAGCATGGCACGCCTAATATCAACTGGGAAGTCCAAACGTGATCAGTATGGGTTGCGCGCGATCAGCTCATGCCAGACGCACCGGAGAGTCGTTACAACTCGTCCTTGGGTAACGACGATTCACTCTGGATCGAGGTTGGCGGATGGCTCGTCAAACAGGCATCAAAGGCCAACGCGAGGCTCTCGGCGGTGGGCTCGACGGCAGCCTTGTCCTGAACGGACGAACTGGAGAACATGGCTAATGAATCCCAGTAGTTCCCGTTGATGACATACTTCCAACGCTGGTCCCCTTCTGCCGGGGGCTCATCCATCTGCGTTGCAACGATTGCAAGACGCTTCGACTCGATAGCTTCCCGGTACTGGCGAGCGACATTTTGGATGTATTCTCGATCATGGATGAGGTATCGGGCATGGCCACTCCATGACGCGAAGGTGTAAATTAGCGTGCATGGTGTGAGCTGAATAGCTTCTTGTAAAGCGTGAACGTCGGGGTCGGAGAGGCAAGTAACGAGCCCGCCAGACGTCGTACTGAGGTGAGCAAGGTGCTGGTTGGTGAGGCCGGTGGCGCCGAGCACCGTGCACGCGAGGAACAAACAGATGATAGAAATCGAAGTCAAGAGGCGTAGCATGCTGAACATGGGAAGGAACGCTCGACCAGCGCCGCGCTGAAATGAACGGCCCTTCGCAGTAAAGGCCTTCCACGTACGTATCGTGCACACGTCAAGCTATTCTGGCGCCGTTCTTAGACTGGATCACCGCCGGCACCTTCTCTAGTGTCGGTTCCTCGACTTGATCCCCGCCGGCACCTTCAGAGATGGTGTTAATTGGGCGTTAACTAGGTTCTGGCATATGATCAAGGTATACGTCTGTCATACATATCATGCCCAACTTTACTAACCTCGTAGATCTGCGAGCTCTGAGATAAGGAATCCCCGGTGTGTATTAGTCGTACTAGACCGGATGTCGAATTCATTGGTACGGACTGGGGTCTACTTTCCAGTAGTCTTCAAAACGACGCGCAATATCCGCAGGCACGAAATAGTTGCAAGCGACTTGGAATCACTCCATTCGGTGTTGATGCACCACTTTAACCCCAAGTCGACCGCTCGGAAAGCGAAGAAATGCATGACTTGCCTGGGTGAAGTGGAACCCTCTAGGTAGGCCGTCGTATGTTGGGGGGGCCGCGATTCCGCACGGGTTTGAAGAGTCCTGTCAATGTCGTTGATCTCAGTCAGGATTTCGAAGGGCTGCAGACTGTCAGTAAGTTCTCATGCGGTCGCCTAATAATTGTGTAAGGAAG